TTCTTATTGCTGCATTGGAGCCATAATCCGGCTTTAGATTAGCACTGTGTGTGGCTTTTTGCCTTTCTTTCCAAATTCAGCAATCCATTTTTCTGGAAAGGTATTTAGGTGCTGTATTATATCCAAGTGCACAACTATCCTCCATAGTTTTTCTCAAAGTTATCAAAGTATATATTTATAAAAAGAAAAGAAAATACTTTATCCACAAGGAACTATTTGTACCAACATCAAATGAAATGACAGTTGTAATTCTAATTCCTCAGATCCATCCCATCCATTTCACCTGATGTATCAAAAAGTCAGCAGGTCTACAGTGAAACATCAAAACAGCTTTTGATGTGGAGTGTAGAGCTTATGGTGTTCCCAATCAGCCCGCTTAACCAGATTGATGCGAGCAAACCTAACAGCAATAGCTTTGAGAGATGAAACAAAATAATGCAATGGGGACTCAGAGGGAAAAAAAACAAAAAAACACAATTATGTGTCTCAAGCAGTCACTGTTTACATATTTTCAATGAAATCCAGTAATATTCACAAAAGCTTTGGACTATAAAAAAATCTTATCAAGTTCAATCTTTTTGTTGTTGAGCTTGTATGTTGTAACTTTGTCATTAATTTATAAGCAGGGAAACATTTTATAACCATTATTTAAAAAAATTATGTAACCATTTTCATTGTTTGATGTTGTTTTGTCTGTATAACATTTTCCTATTTTATTTTCCTTGTTGAGGGCAGGGGGCATAAAGCTAACGCCTGCCATGAATCATTAATTGCTTACATGTTGAGATTTATCCCGAGGAGCCGGAGGCCGGTTCATGATTGTCTTCACAAACTTTTCATTTGTTGCCCCCTTTTAATAATTTGTTGACTTGGCCCTGCTGGTGTTGAGAGAATAAAAGCTACCTCACTCAGTGGTGAAGGTCAGGCATTATCCACCGAAGGCCCACAGGCCATAAAGCATTGATTTCTCACCCATTCCATGGCTTGAATGCAAAGTTATTAAACATCGCCAGTGGGGAATGGCCATGGGTATATAGGCTGACGTTTCCTGGAGCCAGTTGTGTTGCACTTCAGCTTCTTAAACACGGTTTATTGTCCCACTTCAATGAAACTGAAGAGGGAAAATGAAACATTTCGCAACCCAGCTATCTCTCAAAATGGTGCTCTGAAGTTTCTGTTTTGTTCTAGAATTAGCGAGAGCTCGGAAGAAGAGAAGAGGTGCTGCTGCAAAAAGAAATGTGCATGCCAAAAAATGGGCATGCTTTCTGAGCTGCTGCGACACCCTGCCGTTGCTCATCACTGTGCTGAGTCAGGGTGCCTTTATTCTTCTTGTGCGCTGATCATTCCTGACATAAATAGCTAGTGTTAAGACTAAATAGCACATAGCATATGGCACTTACAAAGAAACGCTTGTAATAGTTTTAGGCTAAAAGTAGTTGAGATGCAGAACATCGCATTGGATCCTTTGGCAGATTAAAGATATTGAGATTAAGATGAAACCACATTTTGCCATTGTGATTCTTAATAACCTGCTTAGTTTGGCTCGGAGCCCCATACTGATCTATAATGCATTTAATGTACAGCTAACCAGGATGAAACTTTGGCTCTGACAATGTGAAAGATTTGAAATGGCTCCTCCATGTCCATACATTTACGAATATTTAAAAAAAAAAAGGTTTAAGCAGATGATAACATCTCGCTATATATTGTTGGTCCTTTATATGCCAAGAAACCACTAAAAGAGCTCTGAAGTCCTGTATATTCAAGGTTTGTCTCTTAATATTGTGATTAGAAGTGTCCTACATTTGGCCTACCGGGCACCCCTGAAGATTTGTTGTTTTGGAGATGTTCCAAAAAGCCCAACGGGAGGTGACAACATGTCAGTTAGACATGTTGTGTGTATGTATAACTAACCCCACCAACCTCGACAGACCTCATGGTGTTTGATTTGAGAAGTTTTATTCTTTCATTGAGATAATGACACACCACAGTTTATCTTTTAATCTGTGGTTTTGCCTCACTTCCATTTATGCATCCGAGTGAACAAGCTTTGCATTTCAAATATTCCAGACCATGATATTTGCTGTTTTTACATGAAAAATAATTCCTTTCAAGTTGAAATGATAGTCCTCAAAATGATTTCCTATCACTTTGAAGGCATCACAGGTCAAATGACTTTGAGCTCATAAAGCTGAATATGCCGTATCGTAAAAAGCAGCTTACTGATTCCACAGTATTCACACACTGATTTTAAGCTATGCGACAAAGCTGATATTTAGTGTGCCTCGCTGAGTTGTGCGCTGCAATGCTTCCTCTACAGCACGGGTTTTGTTTGAATAGGTCTGTGGCTTAAGAATTATCCAGCGTAAAGTATATGTGAAATGTTCACCTAGTGTAATGCAAGGGATTGCCAGGGGTCTTAGTGGTTTGTAGCTTACCTTATTGTGGTATAATGTTGTTTAGGAAGATAAATAAAAAGCTAAGCTCTCACGTAATTCGCAGTTTAATGGGACTGAGCAAATGGGACAGTGTACTGCATGTCTCACTGCAAAATACAGGAGTAGGAAATGTGTATGTGCAGTCTGAACGTTTCTATGAAAGTGCACTGCACTTGTACAATAAGAGGCTCAGCACTATGAAATGTATGCCTCATCTCAATGTAAAATGTGATCAAAATATATACCGCAAAGACTGCTGGCAGGTTTTACCGCGTCAGGTTTGCAAACTGTTTTTTCTGCCTCAAAATAACTCTTTGTTCCCCTGAAAAACCTGGCACCTTTCAAAGACTCAGCGGCTTTAATGAGCCGTACTGTTGTGCCAGTGTTTGCTGTCGGGTGTCAGGAATGGTGCTCCTGATAATGTGCCCAGCTGAGTGCCCTCCATGTGTTTTCCCATATTTACGGTGATGGAACCAGTTTGGATGCTTTTTTTTTCCATTTTGCAGACTTTGACAATGCCATTTTCATTTTTTTTTTTTCATACAATTATACTGAAATTTAATAAGGTTTAATAAGGGTACACCTTCGTGTGTTTTTATCATTTAAATGCATTGCAATAGGAGACAAAAGGACACCACAACAGTTACTTTCCCTCAACTGAATGTCTCTCCCACCGTTGTCTTTCAGCAGCTGCAGGGACTGTGCAGCCTGTCAGGCAGAAGCTGTTTGCGAAAGCAGAAAGAAACGACGAAATGACACATGAGGTCATTTATTCTGCTCATATTTGTCCCCTTAGCTTTGAAGATGAAGGGGCTTGAAAAGAGGAAGAACATCAGGCGGTAACTGGGCTTCTCTGAGGTGCAGAGCCTTTTCTTTTTCACTGCTTCCCCTCAGAACTTCAGGAAATGGCCCTTCTATTCCCAGCCCTGGGTTTTTCAATGGTAATCAATTTAGTTTAAAGATGTAGGAAACAACCATTTAGAGACTCTGGCAATCTGAGTGTGTCTCTGCCAACTGCAGAACAGCATGTGCTGCTGACGGATGCCTTGCTGTCTAGTATGAAGGATGTTTTGGCATACGCATTGTTCCCTTTTTTGCAGTAAAAAATAAACTATTCTCAGTTGTGTTCAGGTGTGAGATAAAATGACAAAATTGTATTTTTATACTAAATAATGTCAGAATCCATATGCATAGAATTTCAATATATCTCATATGCTTTTGAGTTTGTTTTGCTCAACTGAATTGAATTTTGCTAGATAATGCTTTATAGAAGCCCATTATGCTGACCCCAAGAAACTTATCTTAATAAAAGAAAAATAGCAGGAACCTCAGAAATTAAAAGCATTCTGAAAAATACTCTGCAAGGTAAGTGTTTATAGTGGTGCTCTTAAACTCTTTGGAATATCTATAGTATTGACAGACCAATTCTTCATCGTGCCAGCTTACGTATTTATGCCTTTTGTAAGGCAAGAGCACATTTTTTTCAGTGCCTTAAAAAAAATTAAAACACTAGATATTTCAAAAGGACCTTGATTTAAATTGTAAGATATCAGCTATAATGCATCAGCGGTAATATAAGAGGGAGAATAGATGAGTTATTTGACCTTTTCAGATTTGTCCCTGGGTAGTGAATTTGCTGGAGGGTGCTGGGGCAGGGAGCAGCCGGGCGTTGAATTATCACTCCCACTGTTCAGAAGCTACGGACCTGATCTCCCACTTGCTCCCCTCCCACCACTAATGGGTTAGGAACACACAAGGAAAAAAAGACAGATATAGCAAAGGGAAAGGGGGGAGGGGGGAGCTTTGAGCCCGTCTGATTGTCTGTGGGTTAAGCTTAGAAACAAATTACCGCCTCAGCTCTGCACTGAACAGAAGTAGCAGCAGGTCATATTTTTCGTGACAAATCTTAAGCGAAAGCTTGTGTCACTCAGCAGTCAGATCGAGCTCGAATCTGTGACAGGTACCGGCAGGACACGTGTCAATGATTTGATGGATACTCGCTGTTTTGAAAGGTTATGATGACTTTTTAGTCGACTGGTCTCTCACTGAGCTCCTTCCTCTTCCACCGTCAAATAAAAGCCCAACACAGAGGAGGCGAGAAAAGAAAAGAAAGAAATTTGCCAAAGTGCTTGGTACTAGTCTGCAGTGTCGCAAAGGACATCATGTCTTTGTTAGGGAGAAGCTGTCAAGAACGGTTTTGTCGAAATAATTCCTATAAAAGAACTGGTTTTGCAAAAAATATTCCATCAACTGAAGGACAGTGCTCTGCTGTCAGCTTTTAAATTCGCACACGTGGTCCCAAAGTGAGGCCTCTGGAAAACATCTTTGTCTTTGCTTCACTCAGCATCACCATTTAACAATCCGATGAATAACACTTCTATCTGAGCCATATAGCTGCAGGTGATTTTGAAGAAAAGCCTTAGAAAAGTATTGTGATTGTCCACTCACATTCAGATATATTCAGATCTTGATTTCTGCTGAAGCATTGCGTTTAAACACATCACCATCGCCTCACTCTGCATCTTCTGTCTCCTTCTCCACCCCTCTGCTCATGACATCCAGACTCCATCTTGTGCGACGTAGGCGAGTTTCACTGTCACAACCATGAAACCTGCATCCCCGAGGCCTGGCTCTGCGATGGCGAGCCCGACTGCCCCGATGACTCAGACGAAAGCGATCATGTTTGTAAGTCACTCATTCCATCCATTCCTCACACTAACAGTACTAACTGACTGTCAAAATGCATCATTTTACAGCTGGTCTCACCTTTCAAATCCGATGACTCCTACTAACATGCACTAAGTGATATCAAACTGAAAAAAAAAAAAATGTTTGCACCAAACAAGAGAAAGGCTGCTGTGGTATTTTTGCTGACAGAAAACTTGTCCTTGTTTGCATCTGTGTCAAATGAAGCCGTTTCTCAGAATTCTCTGAGTGTACTGATGTGTGCCGAAGGAATTTATTGACTTTCATTTCCCCCCGAGTTATTTTCTAACCATTATGAATTGATATACAGCTGCTGGTCTCTCAGGATATAAGTACCAGATTTTTTTTTTAACCAATCTGAGGAAGATTTTGCAAAATGATGTTTTGGGAAAGAGATTTTGCAATGTCTGAACTTATTCTTTTTTATTTATTTGTGTTACTCGTGTACAGTAAAATTGTTCCCATACAGTCTGTATAGATATATAACTCACTGTTCAGAGTATGCACTTTGGCAACTTATCTTGCATAGTTAAGCTTTTTTAGAGCAACTCATTTGGGCAGTAATGCAGTCTGTGTAGCTGACACCTTTATGAGAAAGAGTTTTCCCCTTTTCTCGATTTCTTAAATTGCTTTTTGTGCATAAAAGTGTCCCGCCAAGTCACAAATCCAATACCAAAGGGAGAAATGCTCTGCTCTTGAATCAGAAATCTTCTTTTGGCAACTGGAGCTGTACTTTCTATATTTACCAGCAAGCCTAAGAGACATGTTTGCACAACCCAAGCTTAGAGGAGTTATTTCCATCTCAAAAAAGTCTATAAGTTAAGGCCTGCACACTGCCAGTGTCAAACAAAAAGATGACCAATTAGATCACATTCAGCCTTTCTGAGGAAAGGAGCAAAACTTTTGGACTGAAAGGGTCAGTTTGTCTGTCGTATAATGTGTCTGGCTGGCATGTCATGGTGTGATTTACAGATCACATTTTTAGTTTTTCTGGCCATTGGTTGGCATCTTTCTTAATCTTATCTCAATTTGTTCTGTGGATGTTCCTAGTCCTACATTTCTGTGACATAGGTTTCCTATCACAGAACCTTATTAAATCTTAATGAAACTGTCATTGTAAAGCCATTTTATTGATATTCAGTCCAGATTCTCCACTGCTGTGAGTTATCGGCTATAATTAAGACTTTGTAGTTTTGTTGGTGACATCTGAGCATAAATTGTGCGCGGTCCACAAGAATTATTAACGCTCGAGTGCGCATGAAGCAGTTTATCAAGTCAGCTGCTCGCGAGCGGCTATGCGTCCTTAGGAAAAAAGACATAAGCTTCACTGCTCACGTCACAATTGTATAATTATGCTCAGCAGCTGTTAACACGTGCGCAGCTGTTTGATTGCTCTCTTCGGGCCTGACGGTGTTTACGTCTGTTGCTGTATCTCAACCCCTGTGCACGAGATAAAGCAACACAGCCCCGTGACCCAGACAGGAGTCGGGAGGCAGAGAAAGCAGATGAAAGGATGGATAGTCTTTTTTCAAGACTACAAAAGAAAGAGTAGAGATTGTGCCAAGCACCGCCGCATCCCTACTCTACCATTCTTTTCTTGATAAAGTGAGCTGCCGTTGGTTTTGCTCTTCACTACATAAATCAATCTACCTTTAATATCGTGCGCTTGGCTCTTTGCCTGTTTTCTGTTGTTGGACAGCACACATCACATCTTGTGAGCCAGTTTAATTTCCATGAAAGATTGTGCAGGACTGTCTCAAGGAGCGAGAGGTCCTTTTCAAGGGGCTATCCAGGTATTTCAAAAGTGGACCTGCATACCGCTTATTCATCATAAGGGAATCCTGACGTGTACAAAATAGCAAAATCTTGACTGTGGAAAGAGCTATCTTATTTTTAGGGGGAAAAAAATAACAATTTCAGGTTTAAATTAGGATTTAAACAGAAAGTCTGTATTACAAGCTGGAACACTGGCAGAGAAAATCTAATGAAACACAGTAGTCGGTTTGACTGGTGCAAGACAGGCTAAAGGGTTTCATAAATCAACCCCGCCACAATCATGTTTTATCATGATCTTCTATTGTTTTTCCAAGATTGCCCTGGGATTGACTCGGATTCATTATTTTTGTTGTCATTTTACAAGATCCATGCAATAAAAAATTCTGTGCACTTCAGAAGATGTCTTAATTCATAAAATGTGTCCATCTACTTATACATTTCTTTCACTCTGGGGGAATGAAAGATGTCCATACAGCACATTATTGTTGCAATCAATGTTATAGGATTTGTATCTGAGTTCTGAGTCTGGATTTCATCTGGAGGAAAACCTGTTCATGAATCTTGTAAAGGTCATTTTATTTCCTGAATCAGCAGAGAAATGACCCTTTTTGTTACTATTGACAAATTGATACATCATTGTCCTGAAATTAATATTGATAGAGAGGGGATATAGCTTAGCTTTACCAATAAATACAGGTTATGCACTCTGGAGTCTTAAATGAAAGCAAGGATTGCAATAACCTGAGAAAAAAAGGGTCTTCATTTATGATCATGTTTTCTGAAATAAAATAAAACTAAATGAAATAAAAGCTAAGGGAAATCAGCATTGTGAGCAGTTACAAGCAGGCCAACTTTTATTAGTCTTGAGTATTGTGAGCATTTAATAAATGGATTTAATATCTTAAGAAGAAGACAAAGTAATATATTACCCTCTCTAGATATATGAAAACGTTGCATGGCCTCTCTTCTCTGTCCTGCCTTGGCCGGGGAGATGTAATCACCAGATCTTCTGGGCTTGGAGGAGGGAGGGGGGTAGTAGCCTTGGATTGCAATACCTAGATACGAGAGGGAGGCACCATCTTATCCACTCACCTGCAGGCCTCATGGGAGAGGACAGCTGACACCAGTTTTTCAAGGAGATGGGAAAACGGCTCGTCTTCTGGACTGACAAAAGAGGAAAAAAAGCAAAATGGCACTTCTCCAGTTGTGTAGCAGTTCAAACAAAATCTTTCTGTCCAAGAAAATTGCAAACCCCTCACTTTAAGGGTAACTCAAAGCCTTGAATGGTGATAGTTAATACTGGATTATATTAAAACCGATCTGCCTAGACTAAGGTAAGCTCATTTCGCACCATGCTTAAAATGAAGGCTAAATGTCAAAGCACCCAGACACAGCTCTGTTATTTGTGATAAAGTGGGACAGTCAAAAATCGCTTCGTGTAGATTCATTTCCTAGTGCCATTTTTGTAAAATTCTCAGTTATAATTGCTGACAGCATGCGGCTCTCTTCTTGTATCAATGCTCCAAGCTTGCAAACAGTGTCTTAAAGCCTAAATCCGTCACCATTCCTTCAGGAAAGGATTTCATGGACTTTTGGCTCCTCTTAGTTGTCCTGCCACGAGGGGCTTTGTGAATCTGGTGGACAGGAAGACCACTGAATCCTCTGATTGAATTGTCACCCTGAGGAAAAGACAATGAAGGGGGTCAGTTGCTGACTTCAAAAAGATTGCCTCGGTACCTTTGTTTCATGGCAATAGATTGGCTTGACCCAATCGTCACTGATGTTAATCTCAGTACCCTCAAGGCAAAGTGTGGGGGGGACAGCCTTTTGAGAAATGGCACTCTCAGGAGCCCCTCCTTTAATCTCTGTTGGATAGCAATGTTGGAAAAAGAAGGGTTCTCCACCTCATATGCTACAGTAGATTTTCAGTCATTCAGGTCTTGATAATACTAAAATTTTGAAAGCACTTGGGGAAGATTTGATGTTTAAACACTAGAGATGTTGTTCTTATTTGGCATGTTTTTGTAGTTGTAACTTATGTCAGTGCACCACCTTCCTTATGTGTATGTCAACTGCTTAGTTGTTATTCTGCACAGTCAAATTAGTACATTCGAAAATAAGAACATTTTCGCACTTCTATAAATGCATACAATTAATTAGCATTTGTTGTCTGCAATCTTGATTTTAAAGGAGGCAAAATTGATTGACCTCGATGTTTTTCTGCTGGCTAGAGATCACATTTCCATACCTTTAATTACGACTGCAAATAAGGAAAATACATATAGTGCTTTTTTTTTTTTACCTACATTTATCAACACTCATTGGTGTTCAGCCGTTTGCAATATCCACCAGTTCTCAAATCGGAACTCACCTTCACTCTGTCAAAGGGTTCCATTTGAAGAGACTCACATGCACACTCACAGCCCAGTTAGAATGATGGATTAACCTTGCATGTCATTGTGCTAAAGGAGGAAACCAGAGCACAACCTCATTGAGAAGGGTGTCGTCCCATCCGTGAGGTCGAACAGCTTTAAGAGTTCAAGCAACTATTAGCTTTACCCTCTGCATGCACACCAGTCTCAGTAAAGGCAGATTATCAGTGGCTTCTTAGTGACATCTGAATGTTTCATACTTATGCCCCCACCCAAACCAGTCTATCTTACTTTTTTAAAATCTTGAGTAAACTTAAAAGTATATCCATTTTATTTAGGCCTTTCTACACCAAGTAGAGGACTGCTTAAGATAAGTGTAAATAACAGTTTGAATAAGGCTATATCTACTTTTTGTATCCTTGTTGTTTTAGTCATGTCAAAGAAAACCTGAGGTCATTGATTTGCATTGCATCATTTAAAGGATTTCTTTGTGCAGTAAAGTAAAAATGTAAAATCTTATATATGGAGCCATCAACTAAGAAATAGTTGTGCGTCACTGTAGTGGTCAAGTGTTGTGTGATGTCTCTTTAAATCAAGGTTTTGTATAAATCTTAAATTTAACCTCAAAATGATTTCAATAAACAACTGTAAGAAAATGCAAAGATTTGGGGGATTTATATATTACACAATATATATAAGTTTGAATCATGATGTGAACAGAGTTTTTGACTCCCCATAACGGTACAGTGAAATTATTTTAAATGCTGAACTTGAATGTGAACATAGGTTAGATGACAAAAAGTTGACAAAGCCTTGCAAAAACACAAAGCT